GACGAGGCAGGATTTGGCCCATTCTGTGCGGGATTGTCACGTCATCTAGCGAGCAGGACCCTCTTGGGCGCACTTGTAGAGAGATGGTGGGACACCACCAACTCCTTCCATTTTTTGACTACGGGGGACATGACAATGACCCTATTTGATTTCTCTATACTGACGGGCCTTAACATAGGAGGTCGGCCGATTCCATACGACGCAGATATGGGTGAGTGGGAGGCTGCATGGATTTATCTGCTCGGAGACCGTCCGCTGATCGACAGATCATTAGGCAAGGTCATGTACACCTGGTTCTCAGAGTAGTACCGGAGGACTATGCCCCAGACCATTGAGGCCATACATCAGTATGCCCAGGGATTTTTGATTTTCCTCTTCGGGACCACACTGTTCTCCGACAGGGGGAACACAATTGGGCTTTATCTGCTCAGTGCTCTGGTGGACCTATCACAGGTCCAGCTCTTTGATTGGGGTGGCGCTGCCCTCGCTACCCTTTACTGCTATACGAGCGCGACCTCCCGTGAGCGAGGGACCATAGTTGAGGGCTACTGGCGAGCCTGGGAGGTACATTCTACCCTCTTGATTTACAGTTCTGCTTTCGATTGTCTGTACACTGCACACGGCACACATTAAATTCTGTATTCTACGTTCTGCACTCAGTATCCTGTATTTTATGTATATTCTGCACTCAGCTCTCTGCACCCAGCATTCTATATTTTGATTCTGTACTCAGTATTCTGTATTCTTTGTACATTCTGTATACTGCACACAGCTTATTTTGAACATATAACCCATTCTGAACACTATTCCCTCTGAACACACAACCCATAACACGGTACTTGATTTATTCTGCTCACAGCTTATTCTGAACATACAGCCCATTCTGAACACTGCTCACTCTGAACACACAGCTCATAACATAGTATTCTTTTAATTTTGAACACACGGGATGTAAAGAGGGAACTTGCAGAAGTTGAAACACACTCAGATGCTCTGAATTTTCCTTAATTTCCTTTGCTTCGCAATCCGGAATCCATAGCTTCAGATAGGTCCTGGTTCCATTGTTCTGACATGACCTGGGTTGGACCCGGCGATTTATGAAAGAACGAATTCTTGTTTTGCACAAATGTGGAGAATGGCACAATACTCTGAGCACAAGATGATTTATTTTTGAAATTGAAATGAGAAAGGGGTTCTCAATCGGGTAATGAGCCTACGACTGAACACAGCGCACTACGACTCAACAAAGAAAAGTAAAAGGTAAACAACCTAAACACATCGGGTAACACTCGAAACGACTCAAAACAAGAATCGAGACAAACAAAACAAAAGACACGACACTCAGACGTATTCCAAAGATGAGAGACCTCTCGGGTCATGAGGAGCCAGTTCTTCGGGTATTGTTTCCCACCCTTCCTTACTTGTGATCCTCACATCACTCGGCCCTCAGGCTCTGTTTTTTTGAAAAAGCCCTTTCCTCACTTTTTCTCTCAGATGACGGACATGTGGCCTTCGGCACTGAGTCAGGGTTTCCTAAATTTCCCCATTTTAAAAATATTTAGGTGGCGACTCTGTATCTGGCAAAGCAGTCCATGTTTGGCACTACTTTTTCAAAAATCTGTTTCTCAAAACGATTTGCCAGATTTGGACTCTTTGGTTCAGATTAAGAATCGTGACACAAGTCGAGTCCGAACTGTAGCAGCGAGGTCCCCCCCCGCGGACATGTTACACATAAATCATCATACTTTCCATGGAATAATTTTGCATGCTGTAGAAGGTTATTTTTAATATATTTATGACATACTTTGTATGCCGTATATAATCTTTTACGACATTTTCTTGTATGTCATAAATCATTACACTTTTCACGACATAATTTTGTATGCTGTAAAAGATTATTTTTAGTATATTTCTGACATATTTTGTATGCCGTATATAATCTTTTACAGCATTTTCTTGCATGTCATAAATTATTACACTTTTCACGATATAATTTGGTATGCCGTAGAAGGTTATTTTTAATATATATATATATATATATAGAGAGAGAGAGAGAGAGAGAGAGAGAGAGAACAAAAGCAAATTCAAAGTTCATTACATGATTAAACTCAATACATGAACACTTGATATCACTAAAATGCCCACTTTAGTACTTGAAAAGCAAATTACAAGACCAGATAGCAAATTATATGTACAAATGAAAGCAAAAAGATCATACACAACACAAGCCAGTCAAGTCTAATTCATTATTAGGAGCAGTAGAGAGAGCTAAAGAATCAATTAACTTGGTTGATACAGAACTGTCATGACCCGAACCCGCCCCCAAGGGTTAAGGACATAACTGGCCAGTAATCATGAGATTACCTACGGCCTCAAACCATTTCAGACTTAACTCATCAGAGTAAAGGGGCCAAACAGAAGCAAAATTTAAAACTTTGTCCATAGAGCTATGCTTACATGGCACATCATAACAAACCATACATAGATATATTAATAATTCACAACAGAAAACACAGTAACATAAAGTTCTGTACAAACAGGATCATTTAAGTCTAAGTCAACCCATGAAACTATGTACAACAGATCCAAAGTCTTCGCCAACATGACAAAATATAACTACATAACAAAAGGGCGAAGACGAGTCTCGTGCGTGAGACGTAAGGGCTGACTCTTCAAAACCTTGGTTGTTCCACACAGACTTCACTGAGGCTGGGTCTGGACCTCTCTTGGCTCACCTACAAACACATGAATGAGCGTGAGCGAAAGGCCGGTGAATAATAGCAATTAAAGAAGATGTATTGGAACAATATACATCGGATGGCCTTAGGCCCAATTCATATTTCTATCTAGTATATAAATAGATATGGATCAAGTAACTTCGGTTCTAAACATTTCGGATGGTTGGCCCAATTCATTCATGTCAAACTGGCCTTTGATCCATTTGTCTTTCATTCATGTCAGACTGGCCTCTGGCCCATTTGTCTATCATTCATGTCAGACTGGCCTCTGGCCCATTCATACTTTCATTCAGATCATACTAGCCTCTGGCACATTCATTCTATCATTCAAATCATGCTGGCCTCTGGCCCATTTATTCATTTATGTCAAACTGGCCTTCGGCCCATTCATGCATTCCTTCATGTCAAATTGGCCTTTGGCCCATTCATACTTTCATGTCAAATTAGCCTTTGGTCCATTCATTTGGCATAGCAAACATTGTCCACCAATCAAATCAACAAACTTATAAACCTTCATAGAAGTAAGCAATTGGACAACAACATGTTTCAGATATCTTTGTCAAGATATTACTCACAGTGATCGGTTGGTTGGTTTGCCCTGGAGCTTGACCCTACACATCACATAACACATACGGGTCACAAATGATTCAATCCGTTTTTTAATTCACATATTCCTCTTTATGCTTAATCCTTATCCCTTTAATTCATTTACAATGCTTAATGCATGCCTAAGAGTACTTAGAAGTGAAAGAGAACGGAAAACGAAACACAGAATGCACTTTCAAAATTTTCAGAAACAGGATCCCCGGTCGAGCGTGGACTTCCCCGCTCGAGCGGACCCATGAGGTCTGCAAAAGTACTGGATGCATCAAAATTACGCTCGAGCGTGAAGTCGGGCGCTCGAGCTGAAGGTCTGTCTACATAGCTCCCCGCTCGAGCGTGAATTTCCCCTGCTCGAGCGGACACTTGTCTACAAAAAAATACTGGGAGCTCGTATTTGCCGCTCGAGCACCGGTTCTCCCGCTCGAGCGGACATCAAAATTTATGGGTTTTGCAGCAATGTTCTTGAGCTCAAATTCAACCTTCAAATCAACACATCTTGCATTTTATGGCTCAATCTTCACATAAACATGTACTAACATGGTACAAACACCAAATTACAACATTATGAAGCTCAATTCCATGAATCAAATGTTCCAAATTGACTCAAACTCGTCACCAACACACTAATTTCAAACATTCAAAGCTCACACTTTCATGATTCGCTCATGCATGTGGGAGATACTCATTATCCTCAACTTAATTGGTGAAGAGATGATCAAATACATGGACCTCAATCAAAAATCAACATGGATTACATACTCTATGCCCAAACATGGAAATTCATAGAAATTTCCTACATGCATGCATACATTGACCTTCAATTCAACATGATCAACTCAATTTCATTTCAATTCTCACTCTTGATTACCCAACTAGCTTGAAGACACAATTTACAAACTAAAATCCATGAGTCAATGGTTGATTACTCACCTAGGAGCCTTAATTCTCACAATTTATGGTAAATTCTTGAGTGTGCCTTCAAGATCACCAAGCTTCTTGAGCAAAATTGCACAATTCTGCCCTCTCTCCTCTCTATAGCTGGCCTTCTCACCCTCACAAATGTATAACTCAGATTTTGAGCTCAAAATAAACAAATGAGAGTGTATATGGCCCTTTAAATAAAAGTCCCACTAACCAAAATTATAAATGTTAAATAATTGGGCACTATATCCTTAATTTAATCTAATTAATTTGGTCCGAATCAATTTCCAATAAAATTTCACTGCAGGCTTTAAAATTTATGTCAATCACAATGGCGCAATCAATTTTGGGTTTCGTGACCGATAAGGCCTCCAATTTAAATTCCAAAGCAGATAATCAAACAAATATTCCTACGGTGAACAGATAGAAATTCAAAACCACATATTTTCACATAATGGCACACAAAATCATATCAAACACATAATCACATTCATAATAAGGACCAATTAGCATAATAAGGAACAAGGTTATCACAAGAATGGCCCTACCCCAATACCAATTGTAAGGATTCGAAGAGCAAATATTGCAGCAGCAGCAACAGGTGCAAGCACACATTCTAGAACAACAAAAAACCACCCAGCTTCCTGCAAAGCCAGGGCAAACTCAACAACCTGCAGAAAAATAAATCCATCTTAATAGGAAATCTCTTCTTCAAAGCTTGCAAACTTATGAATTTTCTGGAAAATATATAATAGTGGTAGGGTCATAACAGTTTTATGCAATATGCATCACTCAGCAAATTCAAAATTAACAAAAGCTACCCAAATTTGGGAAAAAAGGAAGAAAGAATATAACAAGAAAAGAAAATGAAAAGAGATAGTGTATACCCAAATTGACATGGACATCATCATCCACTTTTACATAGAAATCAGCATCCCATTTTGCAACAGCAGTGGAGAAGAAAATTTTGGTTTTTGCAAACAATTCATGATACCCTTCAACATGCTCCTGCAAGACAACATGACTCATGAGCACCAAGATTGAGAAAAAAATTTGTGAATTGTCCATAATATTTTTTTTACATACAAGCTCTGTGCATCCTTACCATCCTAAGGAAGTCCTTATGCTGACAATCTTCTGAATCAATGGCTCGATCTAGTATGTTGTTAGATGTTGCACTGCACCAATCAAAACAATTGGCATTCAACATAATTCTCAATTATACACACAGGTGCCCTATATGATGCAAATATATTGTAGCAAGAGCAAAAGGTATGTATCTTCCATTTAGTAATATTATTCTATTCGAATGGATCTGCGTTAGTTTGAGTTAGGACTAGCTTTTTCTAAACCCCAAATTAAAAAGACCTCTATTTCTCAAATGAATTAGACTATTTGAAATCTAGAAAACAAATAATTTTTGGGTATTAATGGTTAGATTGAAAACCAATATGTAGGAGAAAGGGTTAAGGTTAATTTAAACATAGTTTGGTAGGCTTTTGGGGAATTTCAGGCATTATGAACAATAACCTACAAATAGTACTTGGGGTAATTCAGACAGAGGAAGAGAAGAAGGGGGGAAGAAGTGTCTCACCCTCGTCACAAGGTTTAGGGAAATTCATACAACCACAACCTCAAATCCTCATAACTCAACTCTCCACTAAAAACTAAAGATTATTTGCAAATCCATAGGATGCTACATTCTCCAAATTCTACAAAAAACAATGACTTCAAAATTTGGAAATTAAAAATTTTTAACCAACTAAAATATTTTAGAACTAATAATGACTCTATGAAAGATCTAATAACATTATTTAAAGCATGGTAGTAAGACAATAGTAGTCTATTATTCACACATTGAAGCTTTCATTGTCTAAAAAGAATATATTGGTCCCAATTGTGTCCTTTTCTCGTAGCAGTTACTCATAAAGTCACATGATCAATTATGCTCAATAATCAAAGTTTCTATAGGGCATGATCATGCATGAATTATTTCAATCAATGTATCACCCATTAAGCTACTCCAATATTTTTATTGAAGTACCCATGTCGATTCTAGTCTTTCCAATTTTTTATGCTCATTCAATCAAATATCCTCATAAATCCCTTTCACTCTTTTCCATTTTTTATTCTCTTTTGGCTACAACTCATTTCATTATATCTTATCTAACACCACTATTTCTTGGCTTTCCAACATTTGCTCTATGGCATTTAGGTCATTCTGTCACTAATCAACATAAATTTTCTTGTTTTTTGGTAAGTATAAATTCTCTTTAAATTTGCTGCTTTTATCATTACTAAAGCAATTAAGGTGAAAATCAAACTTTAACTATCCACCTAAAATGCTAGGTGTAACAAGCCCGCGGGGGACCTCGCTACAGCTCGGACTCGATTTGTAGTCACGGTTCTAAATCTGAACCAAAGGAATATCCTCCCTTAAGGTGCTATATACGACAAAATAATTGATGCCTATAAATTTTATTACACTTTTAAGTTTCTACAGATTTTAATTCTAAAAATCAAGTTAATTCCAACTCGTTTCTGTCTACAAAAACCTCCAAACTTTCCCTAACCTTCTTAAATCCTAGAACTGAAAGTTCACCTTATTCAAACCAACCATGATTTCAACCATATGGAGTAGCGATCAAAGTTTCCTTCCTAGTGCAGCTTTACATAAATTTGACATCAAAGTCCACAGGAGAGTGCTTCTAGTACTTGTCCACCAACACCAACGTGGAATGAAGATCAACTAAGATTTAGTTCACCTGACCAATTGATTAATTGGCCAAATAGTTCTGCAGTTCTTAGATAAACCAACAAACATCTTCATGGTAATTAGTTTGTCTATTTCTAGTCTCATCAAAGAACATCACAGCACATAAAAGTAAATTACCCTGCAACATACTCATATTTTTCACTAGCCAAAACATAATGTGAAAATGAGTGGTAAAGATTATTTGTGCTTGTGCTATGACTATGGTTGTTGACCACCAATAGAATGGAAATACTGTAAACAAAGAATAATTTAAAACTTGTTCATTCTCATAACAAGTGAACATCTCAAAACTTCCTAGATATTCTGTTTTAATTTTTAAAGGCGATTCATGTGATAATGATACAGTTATTTACTTAACAATGTCTATTGTTACACAAAGAGGAGCTGACTTTTGACAAATCCATATCAAGGAAAAGCAATGGATCCAACTTCAAAAAATTAATAATGAGATCATATTGCCCGAAGAATTCCTATTGTTTTCAAATAACACTAAACTAACCAACTTGTGAGAAAAAGCAGACAAGAGATTTACCTATGGCCGATCATGAACCGGACGTTAATTCCCTTCTCTTGTTCCAATTGAAGAAGTCTCTCTCCTAATCAAACCCAAAAAGCTAGTTAGGGAAAGCCATGAAATTAAGATATAGTAGGACATACACACAAGGACAATATCAAATTATCACCTTGAGGCATCCAAGTTTGTCTGACCGAATCGCGCCTCTTCCTACTACTAAAAGAAGTATTAATTCCAATAACTATGAAAGCCTTCTTCCTTGGCAAGCCCTCATGAGTCAATTCAGAGATGTGAGTGAACTCATCAAATCTTCACATCTCTTCAAAACTTCGAGTAGCAGCCAGCTCCATCTAAAGTGTTGAAATCGACTTGTCTAGTGATCTGCCAGACCTCCAAAAAAACAGAATTATCAATACAAACTTCAATTGATCCAGTAAACACACACACAAGAAAAAATACGAAGTATGATGAGTTTCAAACTCACTGAATCGTTCGATACAGAAGAGCGTATAGAGATCAGTTAGGGTTTGAGATCAATTGATTGAGAATGCATTTGGCTTCGTAGTCTACATTTCCATAGCTCTCACCAAACCCTAACTTCAAATGAAATGATGAATTCGAAGCTTTTGGGAAAAAATGATCGAAAAACAGAGAAAAATTGATCAATTGGGAAAGAAAGTGAATGACATACATTGTGAGGCCATGCGAAATCGCGCAATCTATCAAGGCAATGCTGCACAAAAGTTAAAATGATAATTATTTTTTACCCTTAAATGATAATCATTTTTTATTTTTTATTTCTTAACCAAATTAATTTTTAATTTTTTTTAAAAAAATTCTAAAAATCAAACCATACATAACCTAAAAATCTTTTGATAAATGACTTAGATACGTATGGTTTAAGGATAAAGATTTTGATAAATGACTTTTTGATAAATGACTTACATACGTATGGTTTAAGGGTAAAGATTTTGATAAATGATTTTGATAAATTAAAAATATTTTTAATACATTTCATATTTGTAAAAAAATTAAAAAAAATATAATATATATGAAATGTATTAAAAATGTTTTTAATTTTTAAAAGAAATCACTCAATTCAAAAAAATATAAAATTTAATACATTTCATATATATTATATTTTATTATATTTTTTTTACAAGTATTTTACTTTTTAGTTGTATTCAAATTAAACACATCTAAAAAGTAAAAAATAAATAAATTATTAAAAGAAGGGAAAATATCAAATCAAGGTAATTTTTTTTAAAAAAATTACAAATTAGTGAGAAGCCATATAAATATTAATTTTGAAAATTATAAAGTTTTTCATGAATATGTAATTTTTTTCTCAAAATCCCACTGGGCGCAATTATCTCTTAAAAGAGACACTAAATTATAAAATAATGTATAAATTATTTTTTATATTTTCCTCAATTAGAAAAATTTAAAGTGAGAAGTGTGGTTGGAAATTGTTAGCTTTTTTAAATCAAAAAAAAAAAAAAAATCGAATTGAAATTTTCTTTAATAAAAGTTTTCACAACATGCTAATGCATGCCGTGTAAAGTTATACTATTTTACGACATGAAATGTATGTCGTCTTAAGTACAAATATTTTATGACATATTTTTGTATGCTGTGAAAATATACATTTTTTACGACATGCTTTTGCATGCCATAAAAAAATTCTGGATTGAATTTTTTTTTTATTGCAAAAGTTTTCACGACATGTTAATGCATGCCGTGTAAAGTTATAATATTTTATAACATAAAATATATGTCGTCTTATGTGAAAATATTTTACGACATATTTTTGTAAGTCGTAAAAACACACGTTTTTTACGGCATACTTTTGCATGCTATAAATATATGAATCAACGACTTACATGGTATGTATGCTGTTATTGGCAAAACATTAACGGCTTGTAAAAAAAAAATGCCGTAGAATGTACTAACTACGACATGCATTTAATGCATGTCGTAAACATGATGCTGTGAATAGTTAGTTTTGTTGTAGTGTCATAATGTTACTGAATTGAATCAAATATTTATTTAAACTCTCATATAGTTTAATACTCGAAATTGAACCGATTCAACTTATCAAGTTCACTTTCTTAAGTCATGTAGACTTTCAATGGCTAATTCCAACATAAATCTTTAATCAAATCGTATACGAATCAGACCGAATAATTCCCATTGTTAGTTGTTATCTATCATACTTAGGACTCTTGTTATCTATTCCTATTATCCTTAGGACTCTTGTATTCTTGTACATCTATGTTTCCTATACACCTAGGTTTCTTGGCCTATATATACAGGCTTCTCATTTTGTATTGTTTACATTGAATATATACAATACATATTATTTTCTCACTCTCTCTACTATTCTAACACCCATAAATCGCAAATTGAACCAGAGTAAGGAACAATTGAAATTCAAATCTCCTTAATTAATTAAACACTAATTATTATACGTGATGGGATCGTTACACTTGGCTCGAGCGATGGGCACGCATTTTAATGAGTTTGCTCGAACGATGAAGTAGTCGCTTGAGTTTACTATAAAGTGCGCAGTTTGTAGTTTTTAGGATTGGGACCACCCAGATTTTCAGAGAGGAGCAAGATACAAAGTGTTTTATATTGGATGGTGCTTTATGAGTGTTTCTTTGATGATTTAAGAGTGATTAATGGATCCATGAACTTTATATCAACATCATCGACGGTTTGTTTGTTTTCGTTTATTCACAAAAAAGAGAATTATTTTTCGGTGGATTCCAGGAAACTTGGGTATGAAGTTTTGGTAGATTCCGGAGTGCCTCATTGCCGTGGATTCAACATCGGCATTGTAGATTCAGCGTTGGGCAACACAATTCCAAGGTGTAGACGGTAGTGCACATAGAGGTCGGTTCAATCCGGGCGTAGATTTGCTAGGTAGTTGAGGGTAAACTTGTGTAATTCATTTTTGTCTTCTTAGTGAATTATTTTATGACTTTGGTCCGTGGTTTTTTTCTATCACAATTGGAGGTGCTCTAATTGTGATTTTTTCATGTTAAATCGTTGTGTCAATTTGTCTTGATTGTTTGACGGGGAGTATTATTTATTATTTTAAATTGAAACATAATCAGAAAATTAAAATCTCGGAGGTTTTAGATTTTTCATTCTCCATAATTAGAGATAAAATACACATCTTTCAACTTAAAATCTTAGTGACTTGATGGTAATTAAGAAATGAGGTGCTAGCAGAAATTAGCAAGACCCAATTTTATAATTAAATTAAAAATTGGCTACATATCTTAAATATTGGTCCCAGAAATAATATATGATTAGGACCCCTTTTCACATTGACATAAAAAATTGGCTACATATAAAAATTGCTGATCCCAAAAATAAATTGTATTAGGTGAGATCTCAAATTTTAATCAGTGGAGAGGCGCAAGCCTATTATAGTAATATAGTTCTATCAGACCCACCTTAAATTCAAATAATAATTAAAGTGATATCAACTTACTATAATAATTTAACTGTACTAACCAGAAACATATATATCTCCATTTTTAATTGAGAGGAAGGCAGAGCTAAAGCCATACAAAGTAGCCCACGTGAAAGCGAAATTATAACTCATAATTATGATAACAAGCACTAGTTCATGCTAAATATACACCACAATCAATCTTTGGCACTTGAATTAGTGGGCATATTTTGTTGACATTAGTGTTGATCATGCAAGACTCCACTGTGATAAGGTATAGTTAATTTTAGTTGGTCACATGGCTAGTATTTAGAGTGCAAGATAAAATATTTTGTTGGAATCATGCGTGGTGTGAAATATAGATCATAGCCGTTCTCAACTAAGATTCAAGTTAAGTTTTGTCTTAGAACCTTGTGGGGTTAAGAGTCATCTTGAAGTTGGCGCATTTTCGGTAGGTGTACCCTCATACAACTTTTGCATTTCAACACCCTTTCCACCTCTATATGGTTTTTCCAAAATAACTCTCTCCCTCTAGTTGTGTTTGTCTATCTCAGAAATGAATCTACCTATTCAAAGAATGCTAGCAGGAAATGAAATAATTGACCATCAAAATACAACCAAACAAAAAGTAGAATTGGTGGATTAAAAGGACAAAGTGGGTTTTGGGGAGGAAAAAAAGAAAGTAAACAAATGTTAGGGTCAATAATTGGGGATTTGGGTGGGAGAGAGGAAGGGTGAAAAGGAAATGAATGAAAGAGTGTGTTTGGGGATGGTTTTTTTTTTTTTTTTTTTGATCGGCAAATGTTAGTTGTTAGTTTTTAGATTAGTAACACCTATAGGAGAAAATCTTCCTATCTATGGCAAAGTACCTAAGTGCTTGCACTCCCTTCATTCAACCCCCTTAAGGGGAATTGAACCCATGATCTCATTGAGATTAAGTCCTAAGGAAAGTATAGTGGCAAATTAAGCTAAGCCTAGTTGATTAAAAATTTGGACCATTTGTCGATTTGTGCGTGTCATCCTTGCGCTGTATTTGATGTGATATTGGTGTTGCTTTATGGGTGAGAGAGAAGGCCATTTGGATGTGATGGAGATATTGATGGATATTGAATTAAAATTAGATGACAAAAGTAGTTTATTAATTTTTTTCAAAGTGATTAAGAGATCGGTGTCTAATTTGGAAATAATCTATTCCCTTTTGACTAAATCATTTTGCTATTGATTTTTATCTTTTTTTAACATGGATTATCAATTAAATTAAACTGAACAATATGAAAAATTAAAGATAAAAATAGATACAATTTAAAACTACATAAACCAAATTTACATAGATAAAAATTAAATAAATAAATAAAATTTGTCCATTGATTTATTCATGTTATTTGCATGCCAACTTTTATTTGCAACCCTTCTGGAGGCTATTCATGGATCATACAATTTGTCTTTCTAGGTGTTCCACATCAGCTGTGCACACAAATTGTGGACACAACAAATCAAGTAGTTAAATCTCATCACCATACTTAGATAAAGTTTCATTTTAATGTTTAGCTTCTAATCTATAAAAACTTTGAGTCACTATTATGAGAGAGGCAAATAATTGAGCCAACAAAGTACAAAAATACGGACAAAATAAAATATACAATCACAAAGATAATCGGATGAAAAGATTTTGCATTTAAAATCTCTTAAAATTTGAGTTTTGATACTATATTTGATTACAAATTATTCAAAAAGTATAAATTGATAGAAAATGAACTACACTATTTTTTTTTATTATTATTTATAAATTTTTTGATTGGCAAAGAAAAATTCATTAAAAATAAAAATTTAAGAGTATAAGGAAATAGAATGCACAAAGAGAGTCATAAAAATGTATAAATTCTCTTACTACTTTTTGATTAGCAAAATAAATGAAATTTTATTGATGAAGAAAGCAATACATGCAAAAACTTATATCAACAAAGAAGAAAGTGCAAAGAATATCAATGCTAACCTTAACAATCCGAACTAGGTTGATACTGCAAGGAAGTACAATCATTTACAAGCGCTTGACCCAAGATTGGTGAAAAACCAATCAAAAGGAACCAAAGGAAAGAGAGAAAACCAAAAAACATAACAACAGAACCAACATTAGACCTTACACCAGACCTTAGACAATACAAAACCAATCATACTGACCTTACACCAGACTTTAGACCATACAACATCAGACCTTACACCAGCAGCAAAACTTACTCCACAGCAGCTCAGCCCTTTACCCCAGCAGATACCTCTCTTACTACTTCAACCTGCATCCACACAACTAATTCCTTAACTTCAAATTTTTTTATAAATTATAAATTAAAACTAAAAACAAAAAATGAAAATAACAAAAGGAGTTAAGAAGATATTAACTACACAAACGACTAGCCCACCACACCAGATTGAGCCACACGGATCCACTACGCCCTTCTTCAACCTTCGCCTCATTCTTTCACTATTGCACTCAAACATATTTGTACCTAGCAGTAATCAAAATGGCCTTATTTATATAAAACATTCAAATGGCCTTCACCTTCACAACTTATGAAGCACTGGCGTTGGTACAGGTACGAATACGGATATGATATAGGTATGTCAATACGTTAAAATTTATAAAAAATCAGTTACATATACGATTAGAGTATGGCAAATATTTATTTATTTATTTAAATTTATACAAATTAAAGTTCAAAACAATAGCTATGAAGAGAAAATATATAATCAAAAATAAATCAATATTCAACTATACCAACACAATACTAAAGAAAAATCATGAACCTGATGAACTCATATTCATAACTATCAAGACAATAAGTTGTGAATTCTTAGTATATAATTTTCAAATATTCAAATAACAATTTAAAAGCATCAATATTATGAAAGTAACAATGAACATCAATATAATTTTCCATATTTCTATAAAAATCAATTTTTTTTTTATATAATTCTAATATTTACTAAGTATATAACAATAAGTAGAAGAAGGTAAAAGTACTCAATAACAGTGTAAATAGTTAATGGTTCCAAATTACTTAAATTTTTTGAAGATGATTAAAGAAAAATAAGGCTGTAGACTTGCATCAAATTAATTTCAACTTTTGAAAACATAATAAAAAAATAAAAAATAAATTAGCTATTGCGGAGTACCTACCGCATACCCATGGGATATCCAACTTTTCCAGAGACCGTATGTGACGTATCCGGTACACGTATAATTATATCAGTACACATTCGCACCTAATAAATACTCAATATTTATACGACAATATTGTTAAAACACCTGTATAAGTTCCTCCCCACTACCTTTTTCTCTCTCCTCCATCTCCATCTTATTTCACCTCAAAATAGCCACAATTTCCGCTTCTTTCTGTCACATCCCACTAAACTTCTATTCTTTTTCACACATTTGATCCCCAACTATCTCACACTTTCCTCAATCTTCACCTTTACCAGAATCAAGGCATCCACGTTTTTCCCATCTTCCCACCACATCCCACTAACCACATTTTTCTATTTTCTAGACACAATAATTTATATAGCCTTGAAGTATTGAATCGGATTTCTTTAAAATTCTAATAGAGCTAGATCTTATATGATCCCTTGGAACAAGTCTTTGCCTTGAGTTTATTTATCTCTTTCTCTTTCTCACCTTAATATGCATCCAGACTGCATATATAGAATAGAAGAGTATTAGAGATTCGTCTCACATATAATCTAAAGATTCATCCTCGTGTAGGCTTAGTAGTATAGCTTGGGACTTAGGAGTTTGCTCCTCTCTAGGTCTCAAGTTCAAAACCTCTTAGGTGCTATCAATCCTCGTGTTGGGTTAGTCCATACAGAGCTTTGCTTTGGTTTTAAATGGGCCCCCGCTAGTGGACGGTGGGATTGGTCCCCAGGGATTAGTCGAGGTGCGCGCAAGCTGGCTCGGACACCCTGAGTTATCAAAAAAAAAAATCCATCCATACAATGTCAAATAATGTTGGATTGGATTGGATTGCTTGGATACATCGATGGAAAATTAATTTGGTCCCTGTAGTTTATAGGAAAATCAAAATAACAGGGATCAAATTGACACATCCTGTAAACTAAAGGGACCAAATTGAAACATCATATGATTATCCGTCCATCAAACTTAACTGCCGTTATTTATTGGACTAATATGACACAATCCATAAAATTAAGGGACAAAATTGAGTAAATTGAAACAATAAGCACCAAAATGAAAAAAATGTAAATTACGGGGACTATAATTTGCCCTTCTTTATAAGTGTTTGTTGTATTCTGAACGAAATGAATTAAAGTTCATAACTTCAATTTAAGTTGACATGGTGTTTGGGATGGTGTGCATCTCATATAGGTACCAAATGCAATTGGATTTCTTCTTGGAGCAACTCAGCTGGTGCTATACGCGATTTACAGTAGATCTAATCCATCCAAAAATGTATCTGATAATGATGATCATCATCTGGAGGATCAGGATGCATGGCTACATGAGCACCTCCTCCCCTCTTCTAGTCCATTGCATGACAAGAATGAAGGATAGAAACATAACTCATATCAGAAATAGCTAATTGCAACAAAAGAAAAAAAGAGGGGGGGGGGGGGGGGGGGCTGGGGGAAAAAAAAAGAAAAGGGCTTCATATTAGAAAGTACAACTATATCATATATGCCTTTTCATTTCTTTTTCATTTCCATTGTGTATATATAGTGATATGAGAAAGGGGGAGCGATTATTAATTAGAAATAGATGAAGAGATTGTGACTATGTTTGGATCAATAATTTGAGTGAAAATTTGAAAAAGAAAAAATTGAAGAGAAAACTTGATGAAATTAGGAAGGGAAAAGTGAATTTCCTTTATTCCTTTCTATGTACAAAATCATTTACTTCTCTCTTATTTTTTCCCGTTGCTCCACAAATCCCTCCTCAAATTTTGATCGAAACACAATCTATATGTCTATTCATTTTTAGCTGAGGCTGCTCTGTTTTGCTGCTGCTTTTGTTTGTTGATTGATAATGATAGTCATGATGTGGATGCTTGCAGGTGCTTCACATGTTACGGCTTGGGCTTTTTGTTTTTGTTTTTTTCTTTTTTTTTTTCATTTTGGTTTCTTTATTGTTGGTTTCTCACTATGTGCTTTGCATATCGGGGCTTGTCTTTTGGTGCCAATTTAGTTAGGATCGTTTAGTTTAGCTATGATACTTTGTGCACCTGTCCTTTTTTATTGATTTTTTTTCTCTGTACTTTGTATCGTTGATTTCATCCATAAATATTTTTTGTTGATAAAAAAAGGTATGTCCATTCATTTTTCATTTCTATATTCAGTAGCTTTTCTGCTTGTCTTTTGTTAGTAGTATTAGGGACCGAGAATTTAGATATAAAAAAATACCCAGAAAGCCAATGTGTATAGTTCGGATTCAACTTTTAAATTATATGGTGACTCATATTTAAAATAAGTTTAAATCATATTTTTCATTTATTGCCAACAAATATGATTGTTCTTGTGTTGCATACACTTTTCAGGTGGTGTGAATAATCAATGTGGATGGTTTCACTCTAATAGTCTAATAGAGCAGACCTTGGAACAATGTGTACAAGGCACATTTTAGTTAACTTAAAAGTCCCCATAAGATTATGTGTGGGACAATAAAGGTACTAGTCCACAATAATAGATTCCATGAAGTTTTGGTGCTTTTTGTACCTGCAATTTCAATTCCTCAGCCACAGATGTTCAATTTTTTGTGAAATCATACGCCAATTCTGTGATGTCAATTATTCAATATGTATACGAGTTAGGAACTACATTCCCCAAAACTGTATCTTGAATCTAGAATTTGTGTAAGAATTGTCCAATTTTTTATTTGATTTGTTTGATTTTGTCCTTCGCCTTTTGATGGATTTGTACTACCCAAAATCTCTCGGTAAGTATAAATTTTGTTGAATTAGGGCACACCATTTAAAAAAATAATAATAAAAAATTAACTTCAAATTTCATTAAGAGGTATGAGTTGTATGATTGTCAAGAGTAATTGTAGAGCTCCATGTATGTAATATTATTATTTTTTTTTCGTGAATTATACTAACAGTCCCAGGAGTTTGGAACTTGTATTACTTTAGTCATTAACCTTTCAATTGTGATACATTTAACCCTGAATTTGGAATCTCGTTCCAAATAAGGATAATTGAAGACATTGTTTCTCTATTTGAAGGGTAAAGTCATCACACAACTTATTTTATGTTGATTAACTATGTTGCACTATAGGAAAAATGGCCTACTGCAACGTTTTTTTTATGGCGTTTAGGGAAACGCCACTATAAATTAATGAAACACAACGTTTTCGAAAAACGTTGTGTCTGATCTCAATTAAACAGCGCCGTATTGGGTCAATGTATTGACCGTCAAAACTTTCGTCTCTTTGAACTCAGTTTCTCTTTCTTAGTCTCTACCACAACTCAGTCTCCCTTTCTTCCAAAACCCTCGATTTGAAGCTCTCTCTCGCTCAATTTCAAACACACACACTCTCGCTCGCTCACTCAATTTCTCAATCTCAACCCTCGATTTGCTCGATTGCAAATCCAAAACCCTCGATGGTTTGTGCCTCATCGATTTCTGTCACTCGCAATCAAACTCTCTAGCTATTCTTCTTCGATCTCTATCGCTCGAGGGCTTTGCTCTAGCTGTTCTTCATCGAACTCAAACTCGATCTGTTCTTTATCAAATCGCAAATCCAAAATCCAAATCGACCTGTTCTAGCTGATCTCTCTTGCTTTTATATCAGGTACATTTTTCATTCTCTACTTTCTCATTGTCAAATCTGCTGATTAACTCTGTTCTTCATCAAATCGATCTGTTCTTTATCAAATCGCAGATCCAAAATCCAAAATCGATCTATTCTAGCTTATCTCTCTTGCTCTTATATCAGGTACATTTTTCATTCTCTACTTTCTCATTGTCAAATCTGTTGATTAACTTTGTAATTTTTTCATTCTTTAGTTAAAAAAAAAAAAAAAAAAAAAAAACTAGTTTATATAATTTGTGATGATCTTGTTGTTCTAGTTCTTTAGATTATTTATGATTTTAGCATTGTATACAATTTCGTTCTTCTAACCAGGCTGGTACTGAATTGTTTGATGGTTTGGAAGGTACACAAATTGAAGTTTTGTACTTGTTTATGGTCTCTAATTGGTTTTTGTAATTCACTTGTTGGACAAACTATGCTGTTTTGATAGCCTGGAAATACACTAGTAAACTATGGTGTGGTTAAATTGTTGGCAATTTGTTGTCTGTTTTTAGATTTTAATATTTCCAAGATCATTGTTGTAATGTGTATGATGAACACAGAATAAATAGTCATCAACGGCTAGATAAGGAAGAAGTTTAATGATCTAACTAAATTATAGGGTTGTTTATGGAGATAACCCTTTTGCAATGTCCACTAATTGGACACTTAAAAGATAGGCAACAAGATTTAGACATGGACACTTGAGGAATTAGCCTGACTAAGGTATAAAACCAGCACAAATGATTCAGGCACAACTTCATAACAATGTTTAAGCCACAAAGACCATTTATTATGAGAAGTTTTTAGAACTGGCCACATATCTTCCCATGAATGGCTAGTTTTTACACAAAAATTGAAATAAATAGATGATCCTGGACATGCTAGGTAGAAGTCTCCCTAAGTATCAAAACCTCCCTTGTTCTTTACTCTTTCCTACCCCCCATCAACTAATTAAATACAGAAGAAATACAAAGGGAAGGGTTCCTTGATCAGGCTTGATTATTCCTCTCCATTTTCACCTTTGAAAACCATTTTTCACCAATTTAATAGAGATGTTTGATGAATTGGCGGTTGTTGCACTTAGATGGGATTTCTCTTGGTGTTTAGGGGGTGATTCTAATATCATTCGCTTTCCTTCAGGGAGGTTGCTTGGTGTGCATATCTCCAGATTTGTGATAATTTTTTTCATCTTGATTGATGACTTGGGTCTCATGAACCTTCCTTTGATGGGAGGACCTTTTATTACGTAATCTAAGAATCAAGAGGCTCCCTCTATGTCTGGCATAAACAATTTCTTGGTGTCTTCAGAGTGGGAAAAGTATTTTTGCTTAAGTGATTCAATTTTTAGGCATTAGTGATGATAGTTGTTCCTAAAGATTTTCCATGTATGTCACTCTGTCTATTATCTTGTTATGATTTACTGCATTATTGTGTGGATGTCATTATATGATTGATTGATTAATTAGAATTGGCTAATTAAATAGATTAATCCACTTGGTAAATTTTAATTGCTAATTTGTTTAAGAGTCTGGCCTATTCCCAAAATCAAAGTGTCATCTTTTATTTGTTGGGTTAATTTATTGGAAACGCAAAACAGATGTTCATAATTTTTTCGACTAATGCAACACTCAGATACCAATTTTGAAGATGATTGTAGTAAGAAAAATAGGATACCTCTACAGTCATGTAATGTGCTATCAACTACAATCAT